AAAATTGCCGGAAGCGCAGAAGTACGCCGCATAAAAACAATGAACACATCATAATCATAATTTTTGTGGCCTAATTTCAGGGGCCAGTGAGTTAGATTCGAAATGTGCAGGGTGTCGTATGCGTAATTCGTTTGGCTCTTTATTTTTCTATGCATTAAATGGCCAGCAGAGGGCGCTCTGGCCTTGGCCCGTGCCTTAGGAAAAGTCTATCCGATTCGATGACAGCGGGTGGAAAAAAAGAGCAGAATATTCTGAGCGAAGAACACGGTCTTTGCGCTTCGATTACCTTGCATAATGGGCGACGTCTTCTTTTGCATAAGCGCCGAGAATTTGCACAAAAGACGATGGCAAATAGAAAAGCACTTATTCGCTTTATCAGCTGACGGGGAAAGGGTGTTTTAAGGGGGCGGTGCTGTCAAGGCTGTGTAATTGAAGCCGACTTGAAAGTGTTGCTCAGGCTTAGCGACAAAAAAAGAAAAAGTGGAAAGTGAAGAGGAAAATATCGATTAACTGGCGACAGGAAAGGCTTCGTCTAAATAAAATATGCACTTCTTTTTGGCCACCTTTCCTGCATGTTTTCAATCACATTTTGAATCTTTCCTACAGCAGCAGCACAAATACGTTGGTATTATCTATATACTATATACCTCCCATCCAAGTATGTTTGCCCACCGAATTATAATGACGTCAAATGGAAGCAATGACTTGCACTCGCCCACCCGAATGAGGAAAAGCTGGCAAGTCAGGAGTGAAAGACCAAGGAAATTATGCCAGACGAAGCATGAATGGACCGATAGAACGACTCGAGTCGAGTCCCAAGCTGAGCCCATTGAAATGGAACTTGGCACAAAAGACCAGACTCGAAGTTTAGCTAAAAGCCAGATAAATAAATAAACACACCAATATATGTATAGAAAAAAGAGATTTGGGAAATTGTTGTGCTTTTGAATAAATAAATCGCAGAGCAAATAAAGGTGAATGCCAAACAGAGAGCGGTGCAGACAACAATGAGCCATGATGCTTAGCCAGAAGTACGCATAAGTGGGCTGCCGCTGCAGAAATCCACTTTACTTTCCCAAGTTTAAGCTGCACACATAGACGACGGCAGTTGTTTGCTTTAAAACTGGTTAAAAATGTGGGGCAATGGAATCTAGGGGTTAAGGGGGTAAGGACCCCCAGCTCGTCAGCCAAATTAAGGATGTACAGCACGTGTGCTTAGCCCGCTGGCTATTAAGCGACACTCCGGAACGGGAAGGAGTAAAGGGGGAGTAAACTGTGCATAAAACTCAATCAAGTCGAGACAACAACCAGCACACATCAATGGCCTTTACATACTTGTCTGCCCTGCACTGGAAAAAATTGTGATCTGATCTGAGTAAGAACAAGACAACAACAAAATTTTCCAAAACTTATATTTATTTTATTAAAAATATATTTATTTGTTTAAATAATTGCAGATAAGTCCACAATATTATACATATTGTTTTGAAAGGATAGTATAATATAATAGTTTTAACATTTTTTTTACGCTTTTCTTCTTATTTTGCTAGATTTACATTTTCGGTTTTAAAAAGCCTATACAATGTTCACACAAAAATTAATCCTATGGTAACTTAAATTTAGCAATTTTTAAATTTTCATAAGCTCTATAATATTTTTAGAGTGGATTTGTAATTTTTCAATGTTCATAAGTTTAAAATATTTTACAGCAATTATTTTGCAATTTATAAAAATTAAAGAATGTTTTAAGAATTTATGAATAAATTGTTATTATAAATTATAGCATTTATTTTGTAGTTTTTCAATCTGAAAGTGTAATTTTTCCGTAGTACTGCTGCCTTTGTCCCTGGAGGCATGTCAGGCTCTAATGCAAACCCTGACACGCTCCCGAGCCCCCAGCTGCACACGGCAGCTCCTGGAGAGGTCCTGGCAGGAGTGGCAACCGACGGGCATGACAATGGCACAAGCCAGAATCCAATGTTTTGGCAACAAGAAGGCACCAGGAAAAAGAAGGCCAGGCAAATGTCGCCCCCAACTCGCCCATATAGTATTTTTGCCCTTTGGCTGCTCGGGGCCTTTGTGAGGCACCCGGAGAAAGTCAAATAACTTAGGCAAATCTGAAAAGGCCGAAAGAGTTCTGTCTCAGCTCCGCTGTCAGGATGTGGCCCCAGGCAAGTGATTCCCCCGACTTAGACACGCTTGAGTCTGCCATGCGGGGATCTGCGATCTGGCTGTTTATTTATAGATTTTACTTAAAACAAGAGAGAACGCTATAGTCGGGTTGGTGTCCCGACTATCTAATACCCCTCACTCAGCTAAAGGGAGTGCGAACGCTGTGTCGGGTTTGTGTGCGAGGGAGATAGATATAGAAATTTTGATTGCGTATAACTTTTTAATGAATGGTCCGATTTGAAAAATGTCTTCTACATTTCGATAGGTATAAATATACACAACAAAATTGCATTTTTACTTTTCGGAAATCTTTAAAGATGTGGGCGCAGGACCCATTTTAAAATCGTTAATGGGCGATTGTGGGCGTTAGAGGGGGCGTGGCGCTCGGCTAAAATAAACTTGCGCTGCGTAGGAAGCCAAAGAATATGTGTGGAAAATCTCAACCTTCTAGCTTTTGTAGTTTCCGAGATCTCAGCGTTCATACAGACAGACAGACGGACAGACAGACGGACAGACGGACAGACGGACATGGCTAGATCGACTCGGCTAGTGACCCTGATCAAGAATATATATACTTTATGGGGTCGGAAACGCTTCCTTCTAGCTGTTACATACTTTTGCACGAATCTAGTATACCCTTTTACTCTACGAGTAACGGGTATAATAAAGTTTGTAAGGAGGCTTTTCTTTCATGTTTATTTTCTTTCTTTTTTACTTTAAAGATTTTGTATCAGAAAATAATTCTGTTTAATTAAAGCAAGTTTGTTATCTGGTTTTATTTTGCATTATAAATTATTATTAATTATAAAAAAATTGCAATATTAATTATTAAGCATTATTTAAACAGTTTTATATGTTTGTAAATATTTTATACACTTTTAAAATTTAAATAAATTATTCATTAAAACAAATCTTGATAAAGAAAATTGTTGTTTTAATAAAATATTTACTCTGCAATTAAAGTCCAAACATTGCAATGCATTGCATAAGTAATTACACAAACTTTTTAAATTTAAAAAGCTGCCTGTTCTCACACTTTAAGCATTTGCAATGGAAAACACTCCCTGCACTGCATTCATGGCCATGAAATTTCTGGAAAACGGACCTCTCAGCATGAAGACAATGCAGGACTCAGGATATCCAATCCCAGTCAGTGGGACATGCGAGCCCTCTTTTGTTGACTGAAATTGAAAATCCTTTGTTCACATACTAAGCGCTTTTTAATTAGTTTTTCAAGCACGCCTGAATAATGTCCGGCAAATAGGACACGAGGATCTACCAATAAATTCCATTACGTTGCTTGGCTCAAATGAGGGCTCACAATTGAATGCTACTCCTTAGCTGGATGTCGCAGCCTTTAATCAAATTAAATTTCGTGAGACATTTTTCAGCTTCAGTTTAGGCAACTGCTGTTTAGGCCAAAAGAAAGAAATCAACAATTGTAAATCATTTCAACAAATGTCGGCCACGTGATTTCCGGCGGCACGTGCTCCACCTTCACGACTTCGCCCCGCCAACAGCTGCCGAAGCAGAAATTATTGGCAAAGCGTTTAAGCGCAATAAATATGTTTGATTGCTGGCAAGTTGCCCAAAGTATATGCGATATATATGTATGAAGATAAATATATACGGCGTGCTGAGCGGGAATCACAGGGGCCGACCATCCTGCGATCCTGCTCCTCCCACACAAAAACCGGCTCCGGGCTCAGAGCAAATTTGTAATTCATTTAAACGCGCAACTAAATCGCTTCAAGCTGTTTGCTCTGCACTTTTTAATAGTCGCGGGCTGTGTATTTCACTGCGACAAATTATTATAATTTATTCAACAACTTATGAAATATGAAAAATTAATATAAAATCATGCTACATGCTATTTATTTAAAATCCCCACTTTCTAAACGAACAAAATAAATGTTACTGAATTATTCTGGTGCACTTATTTTTAAACATTAATTTTAAAAAATTTTGAAACTTTTATGTAAAAATGTTGAAATTTGAATGGGACATGGAATTACTGATCTACTTATCAATAGGTATTATTAAATTTACATTTTTTTAGATTTTTTTTCAAATAAAATTATGATGAATATCTGAAATTCATGATTTTTTTAAGTTTGTATTTTAAGTGTTTAAGTTATTAAGTTTTTAAGTTTATTTGTTGTCGAAAAAAATGATGCTTAAATCATTTATATTTCAAATTATTTAGAGACACTTTTAAAATAAAAACTTAATAAAAATAGAACGGTATGCATTGCGCTCAGTGTAGATCCCGGAAGCACCACAGACGGAATCCTGGTGAATTACCCAGGAAGCCAGCCAAAGGGGCCACTCCCATCGCATCGCTCGACTAAATCAAACGAAAGCGCAGCTAAAACGCTTTTGTGCACAATTCGATTATTTACGTTTATTCTTTTTAAATGATATTTCCCCTTTTCCCGTTTGGCCAAAAGGAGCAAGAAACCAATTATTTGCGGACTCCGCTCAGAGAAAGCCAGCCGGAGGGCAAGCAATTTGTAAGGAAATGAAGCGTAAGCAGAGGAACCGGAAAATGTGCTGCAGTTGAAAGGCGAAAGGGTAAACAAAAGATCAAATTAATAGCCGCACAGCATCGATACGATATCGAATCGAATCGAAAGGGGGGAGCTGGGGGAGGCAAACACAGCTGGATTAGAGAGTGCTGCAACATCTTGCAGTGGGAAAACATTTAAACAGGTGATATTATTGGGGCTCTTGATCCGATCAAAGGGAGTATAAAAAACCGGAGGTGACACCTAGAAAGCATCACAACCACTTCCGGCCTTCCACAAGCAACAGTTCGAGTTCAGAGTTCCGAGCCACAAAATATGTCAGCCAAATACGCCCTGATCTTTGCCCTGGCGGCCCTCTGCTGCCTGGTGGTCTCCACCGAGGCGGCGGCCCAGCGCAGCCGAGTTCTGAGCTCCCGCCGTGGCATCGAGCTGGTCGAGAAGGATAGCCAGGAGGAGACCGAGCTGGCTGCCCAGGAGAAGGAGCTGGAGCGACAGGAGCAGGAGCAGGAGCAGAAGAACGCACTGGAGGGACGCAGCGAGGATGGCGCCGTGGCCACCGAGAACAAACAGGACAAGGACACCGCCACCGCCACCAAGGATAAGGACACCGTGGTGAGGCCCAACAAGGATGACGCCCGTGCCCGCCGCATCGTTCGTGCTGGTCGTCGTCGTGGAGGACGCCGCGGTGGTCGCCGGGGAGGTCGTCGTGGTGGACGCCGCTCTGCTCGCCGTGGAGGACGTCGTGGTGGACGCAGGCGCGGCGGTCGTCGCGGTCGTGCCGGTGCCCGTCGCCGCACCTCCATCAAGAGGCGTTCCGGCAAGGGCAACAAGGCCTAAGAAATTCCCCTCCCAGCTAAGACTAACTGACCGATCCACTGACTCGATTTAGACAAATAAATAAAATTTTTAACAAAATCAAAACAACTGGATTTCCTTTTTTATAAAATTTATTTATCATTACTTATTAATTACTTGATATTGAAAAAATATCTTTTAAGTTCTGATAAAGGTACCTATCCAAAATCATCGACTATTAGACTAAGTATTAGTCTAATACAGCGGTCGGCACACACATACGTTGACATTTTGTTTTATAATTGTGTGAGTAATTTGCACTGGGCAGCTCATCGATGTGTGTGTGCAGACCCCTGTTCTACGTTATACATGTGAGAGCAGCACGCCGGCAGAACAAAACCCTATGCTCACTTAATAGGGCGCTGCCGACCGCTTGTCTAATACTATTAGACTAATAGTCTTTTAAAGAACACAACATGAATTTTAATCAATCATTTATTTTAATACTATAATGCTTGAAAAATTACAAATTTCAATCCTTACGAACATGTATCATTAAAACTTGATATTAGGTAGTATTTAGAAATATCGGCTCTTGTAGCACAGTTACGATAACTAAATATTAATATATTGAGCTGATAGTATTTCCTTGGCCTAAATAGTTTTTTTTATAAATATATATTTTTTTGTTTTGAAATTTTTTATTATTTAGTTGGAGTCTTTTAATTTAGCAATTAAAGCTTTACTTAATAGCTCAAGCTCTATTGTACCAAAAGAGTGGCTTAAAGACCCCCATCAGTGACAGAAAACTTTCAAAATCCTCTGAAAAAACGGCAAAAGGGGGGAGGTCGGTGTTGGGCCTGTTTCGCATTCTTTGCGACGTCCTGTCGTCCTTTTGTCCTTTGGTCCTGTCCCTGTGCCTGGCCTCCCCATGCAGCGACGTGACATGTGACAAGAAGTTGCGCGGCGTTGCTGCAACAGCTGCTGTCGCCTGCCGGCCGGGATCCTGGGTCCTGCTCCGCCTGAAAAATGATGAATGTGCCAATGTTGCTGGGCTGTTGCCACATCCTCGGTCTTGGCCCTAGCTACTACTACTACACTCTGCCGAAACTTGCTTGGCTTTGTGCTGCAGTCGGCGTGGAAAGTTTTGCGGCCGCCGCCAAGTTTCAGTCCATTCTGGGATTATTAGACAGCATTTGGTGCAACATGAGGCGTGGCCGCGACTACATTCGGTTTTGGTGGTATAAACTCCAGCTGGAACTGCGCCAGTCCATCAAGACAGAAGTTTGTTCGAGTGTAGAGAACCCCCAACTGCATAGGCGGGCAAAACGAGCTCGTCAGTCGGAGCGCATTAAGCCACAAATAGTTTGTGGCCTGCAGGAAATTAAACTCATGTGAATGGGGGACACAGACTGCACATTTTGATGAGACTGAGACCTTTCCATTATAATCCATCCATCCAGAATGCAGGGAACACAGATAATGAGCTATGAAGAGCACAGGACGATGATTCGGCATTGGGTTTCGTTTAACGTTTAATTAAGCCACTGCCAGGCGAAATGTGCAGTGAAAAGTTTGTAATTTCCTCTGCATCTGCAACATGTGTCCATATCCATTGGAATTCACTAAGCGACACCGAGAGATGTAGACAAAAAGTTTGGCCTTTGTCTGAGTTTGCTCAGCCAACAATAGAGGCGGCCATTGTTTGGCTTTTAGCAGCAACAAAAGGCAAAAGAGCCAAACAATTTAGATAGGACAATAAGCCAACGGGAAATTAAATTGGCTGCTCTAGTTTACATAGTTGTCCCCCCGACCCCTGCCCCCCACTCATCACTCAAAAGAAAGCAATGAAAGCTGTTTAAAGCGAAATTAAATTAAACTTTCAAACGAATATATGTACAGTGTACGAATAGGAGCATAATTATCATTATTTATTTCATGGTCATAGAAAGAGGAAAACTTCAAGTAAAATTCCCGTATTTATACGGCATGCCACATTGTTTTAGTTTTTTTTTGGGTGTAGGTTAAATTAAGATAAGGAAAGTAATGGAAGCTTTAAATTGACATCTAAAATATTTAATCAAGAGTTATAAGAGTTGTAAGTTCATTTACCAAAAAAAAAGAGATATAACATGACTAGCAAAACAGTCAATGCATGCGAAACCTCTAAGAGCGCAAGAACTTTGTTATCGTTGATCAATAATCAAAAAGGAACTTCAAATATTATACAATAAATTTCATGTTCCATAACGGCTCCCAGCTCGATTGCCTTCCTTGAAGGGGACTTAATACAAATCCGCTGAACAAGATGAAAACAAAAATCTGTTATTCAGATTGACTTGGCACAAAGGCCACAAAACACTCGAGGCCAACGAAAACGCATACATATTTGCAGTTTTTCCCGTTTTTTTATTATTAAATACTTTTTCCAGCCCACTGTTACAACAACAATGCACGAAGGAGGGGCAGAAAAATGGAAAATCACTTGCCGATTTTCAATTGAGCGGCGGAAATGTAACGGAAATAAATTTACATAAATACAATATGGTGCGTGCTTGTTGGCGCCATTTTATTTGCACAACATATATGTATGTGTGAATGGAAATGCACACACACAGGGACACATCGAGACGAAGCAACATATTTGCACCGAAGTGCGTATTGATTTGCGGCATATGCATGTGAAATGTTTTCCTTTTTGCCCGCTTCCCCGATATTCGATACAAAAAATGTGAATTTAAAATGCCTTCCGCCTTTGGCCTATTTATATGGCGAGGCACCTTCGTGCGCCCACTTTGTTTAATGCCGGCAAATATTTTCAGCACTTCGTGACCAAATTCTCGCAGCGCACTATCTCGAGTGTAAATAGTGCACACACCTGCCTTAACTGCCATTCGAATGGCGTCAGGTACTTCTTTTTCCCGTTCTTTCCTTGCCATGCACCTGGCATTATTTGCATAAGATAAAAGATGAAAAACAGACCTGAGTTAAGGCGCTCTCGTCCTCCAAGTGCTTACCAGCCAAAAAGCGCTGCCCTGGCCCTAAATGTGTTTTCCATAAAAGCCAAGCAAATCCCAGAGTTCTGTTCTCCCAAAAAAATGCCAAGACGATGGCGAACCTGATAAAGACAACACATATTGAAGGGGTCCCCATTCCCACTCCCAATTCCCGGAACTTGGAACTTGGGGAATGGGACCGCTGTCGCCATTTTGTAGCATTTGCAACTTATATGCATATGTGGTCTGCAACGAGGAGCCAGCACGGAGTACAAGAAAACGAGCAAAACTTAAGACCGCCGCCGCCAACGTGCTCTGAAATTACATTTTCCCTGCACAAATATTTCCCACGACCCACGAACTGCACGAAAATGCGCCAAGATTTTTTCGCTGTTCCCACATTCTGTATTTACCCACTTCCTTCTCAATCGACGGGGATGCACAGTAAGACCTGTAAGTCGGTTTTAAATCACTGGAAAATATTACGAGGTATTCCTTCAATTGCATAAAATTAATTTTGATTAAATAAATTGAAAATAAGTTTTTTCAAATAATTATCAAAAATATAGTAGTATCTTAAAAATAAATAGGTTATATATTTTCTAAAGTTTAAAAATTTCTATTTATTTCAATAAGTATTTTGATTATTCAGCAATTATAAATCTTTTAAAATAATTATATTTAAATACCTACCGAAAAATGTTAGATACCTGAAAAATAAATATCTTTCATTTTCTTAAGTTGTAAAACATTTATTTGTTTAGCTAATTTAAGAACGCAAACTAACTAAGTTAAATAAGCTAATTTTTTTAATTAATAAAAATTTAAACTAAAATTTGGAAAATTATTTTAAAATAAGATACTTGTTCTTGCATTTTTAAATTCAACATTTTATATAATTTATATTATAGAATATAAAAACAAGAGAGAACGCTATAGTCGGGTTGTTGTCCCGACTATCTAATACCCGTCACTCAGCTAAAGGGAGTGCGAACGCTGTGTCGGGTTGGTGTCCCGACTAATAATCGTAACTCAGGTAAAGGGAGTGCGAGGGAGATAGATATATAATTTTTGATTGCGTATAACTTTTTAATGAATGGTCCGATTTGAAAAATGTCTTCTACATTTCGATAGGTATAAATATACACAACAAAAATGCATTTATACTTCTCGGAAATCTTTAATGATGTGGGCGCAGGACCCATTTTAAAATCGTTAGTGGGCGATTGTGGGCGTTAGAGGGGGCGTGGCGCTCGGCTAAAATAAACTTGCGCTGCGTAGGAAACCAAAGAATATGTGTGGGAAATCTCAACCTTCTAGCTTTTGTAGTTTCTGAGATCTCAGCGTTCATACAGACGGACAGACGGACAGACGGACAGACAGACAGACGGACAGACGGACATGGCTAGATCGACTCGGCTAGTGACCCTGATCAAGAATATATATTCTTTATGGGGTCGGAAACGCTTTCTTCTAGCTGTTACATACTTTTGCACGAATCTAGTATACCCTTTTACTCTACGAGTAACGGGTATAATGATTCACATTGCTGTCCACTGTGCTGTCTTAGTTTAACTGGCATAGAAATCGGTGTTACCACTCGTAAGTTTGCCGTATTTTACAAATGCATTTGACATAAATTTTAAAAGGCTTAAGTGCCGAAGGGCCTTGCTTCCCATTGGCTCCTTGATAAGAGGACGACTGCGAGTGGGGGTGGAGCAGGGCTAGCTAGGCCCTTAAATCCCAGTTGGGTGAAGACATAAAATAGAGCAATTACGGCAAAGATCATAAATTATGCAAAGCCCGGCAACAAGTGAGCGATAAGCCCGGCAAACGGAAGCCTGCGGATGGAAAATATGTGGGGGAGTATGGCGGTAAGTTTCCCTGACAATCATCACTCACTCGCAGCACTCGTCGCGAATTGAAATCATTCGCAGAGTGTCTTTCGCCAACAGTGTGCCACATATATATGTGGGGAAAATAGGGAAAAGCAAGCCCGACACTCTAAGAACTCTGAGTGCTGCACGTCGTTTATCAACTGGCAGTGGAAAATGCATTCCGGCAATGCGAAATGCAAGTTGCAGCCACCTCCGCAAC